CAGCAAACAAACCTGAATTTGGTTCTCCAAAGAGCAAGTACATCAACAAGATCCTCAAAGACTTCAAAACTTGAACCATGGAAGAACTCAAGATTTTACCCGATCAATGCATTGACTATATTTTCATCATCATCTTTTTCTTCTTCTTTAACCATTTCTTTTCTTTTCCTACAACAAAAATAGAAGTTGTTTACTGTAAAACCTAAGACAATCAACAGTGGAAGATATTGCTTAAATTGATTATTTTTATGAAGAATATAGACAATAGAGAAAGATAAATATTGTGATAATTAATAGTGGAAAGATGGCTTTTGTTAAAAAAACAAAAAATCCATCACTTAGGTGACTATGTCTATATGGTCCACTACCTTACTTTGACAATCAAGAAATATAAAGATAGCTTAACATATGAACAATGAATTCGCATGATCACAACACTTTCTTCTAACTCATTAATAAAACATGACATGATATCAACCAAATGAAAAACCAAATCACCTAGTGAGTACTTGCCTAGGATGATTTGGTTTCAATGTGTTCATAAGGTTACAACACTTCATGCAACCCTCTAATAAAACATAAGCATGCTATTAATTAAACCAAAAACCACATTATCCAATGTGTATCATGTTATTGCTACCCTATATGACACATCAACAATAACACACTAACAACCTGCTAAGACTTGAAAAAAAAATGAGATTTCCTCTAAGGTCTATTACCTTATTATGATAATGTAAAATATTAAGGTAGCCTAATATGTTGAATGATGAGTTTACACAACCATAACACTTTCATGCGGCTCTTCAATGAAACACAAGCATGACTTCCTTACAACCCTACAATAAAATACAAGCATGCTAACAATCAAATCACCTAATGAGTTCATGCCTTTTTCCTATCTCAAATGATACAAATATAACCCTCTAACATATGAAAAATTAGACTACATCTAAGGTCCACTACCTTACCATGGCAATCAAAGAATGCCAAGGTAGCCTAACATGTATTGTGATGTTTGCATGGTCATAAATACTTTATTGTGACATACTGGTAAAATACTATCAATCAAAAGAAAAACAACACTTTCTTATAACCATCCAATAAGTTATGAACATGCTAATAATCAAATTTAAAACAAAATCACATTATGGGTGTATGATTGGGTGATTTGGTTTCAATTAGTTTGCATGGTCACAACACTTTAGTGTGACCTTCCATAAATTTACTCATAACACCGAAAAAAATGTGATTTTCAACACAAGAAATATAGATTAACATAGATTTAGACATTTTCAAGCATTCAAGCCAAAAAAAAAGAAATCATAAGATATTATGAGAAAACTTGAAAAGAATTGCCTAGTTTTGCAATATTTTCCAGAACTTGAAAAATCTTCAAAAACCTTTGGTTCACACTTATTTTTTGAGTTTATGTAAATGAAACACTCTATGAATGAGGTTTAGAGTTTTAGAGTCATTTGAGGGTGAAAGAACGCTTATTTCGGGGGAATGAAACATCCTTTTCTCCTTTGTTTTTTTATTTTCTGTTTGTATCTTTTTTGTTACGTATCAAATGATATGCTCGGTACATGGTTGGTATGGGCTGATAGATATGGTGGAAAAAAGGTGAGACTATCCCATATCAAGCCTTCAAAGATACAATATGATTCGTGTCGTGTCAGGCATATCATATTAAAATTTTAACTTTGCTTGCAACCATCCAATAAAAGACAAATATGATGTTATCAATCAAATAAAAAAACCAAATAATCCAATGAAAGCATGTATGCTATTACTACACCAAATGATATAACAACAACCAACTATCATATAGAATAGAGACTACCTCTAGGACATACTACCTAACAATAACTTCGTTCGGACCCATCTTGATATTAGATGGACAAGTCCGAACCAAGATCAGATTAAGATCAATTTTGATGCCTCATGCATCAATGGTCATTGCCCTATAGTTTGTTTAACTAGAGATCATAATTGTCAGGTTTTGAATTGCAAAGTGTACAAAGTGAGTTCCTCATCCATTAATCTAGCTGAAGTGTGGGCCACTTGAGAGGGTCACAATGTTGCTCTTAACTTCAACCACAAGAACATTATCATAGAGGGAGATTGGAAACTGGTTATTGACTGTATGAAAAATAGCATGGAGCCCCCTAGAGATTGAAAACAATTATGGATGGTTGTAGGCCTTTGATCAAGAGGATGGAAGGTCAAGTGGAGTATTGTCACATCCATCAAGACGGAAACTTGGCTACGGATTGGCTTGCTAACTTCTCTCACTCAAATGTTGTTTCTTTTGCCTTCATCCCTAGAGCTTTAAGTGCTATTTCTATTTCTGATTTTTGGGGATGTGCTACCTCCCTTTGTGTGTAGCCCCCTTTTTATTCTCTTGGTTAATAAAAAAAAAAACTACCTAACTATGATAATTGGGTAATACCAAGGTAGCTTAACATGTAGAATGACCCTTATGGCTTAGTTTGGAAAGAGAACATGTACAAATATGTATAGTGTAAAACCTTATATTTTGTATGCATTTGTATTGTACATATTTGTATTCATACTCTTTCCAAATTGAAACTATGCAACAAAGCGCTTATGGAGGATTGCCTCGCTATCGTCGAAACATTTTTATACACAACGGTCTTGGATATTTTTATATTCTTAATTTTTTTTTTGAGATTTTAATTAATAAAACAAACATTATTAAACTAGATTATTTAAATTGAGTTAAAATACCAATTTCTTTTTATTATTTTTCTTATTTAGTAGGGTTCGATCAAGATGTATGTTGTCTTCAACCTTTGAAGATTTCAAAACCTGAACTAATAAGCATGGAATAACTCAAAATTTTGTGTAATTAACACATTGATTTTTCTTCTTCTTCTTTCATCCTGTCTTTCCTTTTCTTCTTCCATTTTTATGAGCATATGTTGATTTTCTATGTTTAAAATGATTTTCTATAAAAATTATAAACAATTAATAATGAAAGATGGTGCTCCTTGCTGGGGAACCTAAAGAGCTTTCCTAGGATTATTCAAATAAAAATCATTACCCCACTTTATTACTTTGAAGATGTGGCAAACTCTCTCCTGCCCATAAACTCCTCTTACATCCCTATCCAAAGGACATTATACTACACATTGGGAATATCTCCCTTGTGGTGTGAGTTTCTGGGAAGGAGATATGGACTGCACCTCTGCACCTTTAAAACTAATGGGTTTATCTTTTTGAATTATGGCTTCATGGCTTATAAAATTGCAATAATAGATTGCATTGTTTTTCAAAGTAATAATTTGTTAGCATTATCTCTGAAATTAATCATCTCATTGATATGGGGCATCCAAATACTTCATCAGATTGGACTTAGATTGGATTATAGATTTCTAACCTTTAGGCCCCGTTTGCTTTTCGAGAAGTTATTTACCCAGGTAAATGCACTAAGTATTTCCCAGGAAACACTTACCCGGGTAAGTGCATTTACCCATATTCTTTTATTTCCAAGGTAAATAAGACAATGATTTTTTTAGCCATAAAAATCCATTATTAAAAGGGGCAATTTTGTCTCGTCCAACTATTGGCAAGTTTCTCACACGTGGAAAGTTATTTACCTACCTAAGAGATGGGTATCACTAACCAGGTAAGTGATGCCCTGGGAAAATAAATTTTTTGCAGACCCCACATAAATTTGAAAAAAGAACATGGATATCTTGGTAAGTGGAAGTCAAAATCCCATTAACCAACTTTCTCCTATCAAAATCCAAAAAAAAGCAAACAAACACCCCCTTAATAGGGATGTCAACGGGTTGGGTTCGGAATGGGTTTGTCTCAATCCTATCCCAATTCTCTAGTGCCCCACCCTAAACCTGACCTAACCGGCTTAAAAACACATGATTTCCGAACCTGGCCCAACCCTATGGGGTCTAACTCGGCACTGACCCGATTCGACCTATAGCATTTCAAAGGTATTTTTTAACACATTTTGAAAACCTCCTTTAATTTAAATTAGGAAATTGTTTTATAAATTCTAAGGTGTCACTTTTTCCATTAAAAATAAAAGAAGAAAACCAAAATCAACATTTAAATAAATCATAAACTTTTAGGCTATAGAATTAGAAGTCAAAAAGTTGCAAAAATACTTTATATATATGCAGGGTATCATGAGCCGCCAGGGCAGATCAGCCAAAACCCCAACCAACTTGGGTCAAGGAATCTAAACCCTAACCCGACCCATTGACATCCCTACCTCTTAGATTGATAGAATGCATCAAAAAGTTCTCTCAAATCTCAATAATCAAGCATCACTACAAAAGCTTTTATTCATCACCAGGAATCAAGGTTCAAAGTATCAATACGTATCCGGAGATGGACCTTAAACCGACCCCTCCAGACTGGATTAAAAAAAAAAAAAACCTATAAAAACTACCTATACTGCCAGCTACGCCTCTACCAGCATATCGATATTTTGAACATTGGCAGGAATACGAGAATCATCTACACAGCTCAGCATATCAAACCCGGCGGAAACCACCCAACGGCTAAGTAAATATAAGTAACCAACTAAAATGCCATCCCAGATATCCGTTCTGCTGTTACAGACAAGTCAATTTTATGAACCATGACATGCATCTGCGCCAGTACACAGTTGTATCTTATACTGGTTAACCGGTTCCCTAAAACCATCTAGTGGCAAATGATCCATGGGGACATAGGCCCCTTGATAACTGCATCCAGCCAAGCCCCATCACATATGAACAAACTCGGCCAATCCATACGAAATCACAGACCGCTTGGAAATTATGGAAATAGAAGTGAAAGTTGATCCATCTCTGACACTTGGGAGGGTACAACTAGAAATAAAACGTCTAATGCACGCTTAGGATCAAGGTTCAAATGTTCAATTATCGCAATACACCGGTGCGTATCTTGTTCCAATGATACGACGTATCGATTTTCAGGGGGCCTTACGCGTTGATTACACGGAATTGGCTGTAACTAATAGTTTGAAATGATAATAATTATGCTCAGGTACCCGTCTGCACATTCAGACTAAAAAAAATTAGGTAAAGAAAGGTGTATCTAAAAGTTTTACAGTGAATTACACGCCCGATATTCAAATTGAGTATCGAACATGTCGATACTTAACCTTGCTTAAGATAGAAATAAAGATGAGAGATCCACTAATCACGTTTGACAATCCATCAAGATAACACTCCAAATGAGTCGAACGATATAGAAGATGGAAATCCAAATAACGTATCACGACCAATTTGGATACTTTTGCCAAGACAATGCACTCCGTTACCCTACTAGTATGGCCTATACCTCCAGTCCATCCTTGAAGGTCTTGTGCTGCTACTTCCGTAACCCCACTGCACAAGGAAAATTAATTAAATAAATGCATTTATACCTCGAGCATGAACAGCACAAGGATATACATGAAACTCATAAGCATCCGTTTCAGAATAAAAATGGGAGTGAAATCAATTGAGGTCATTTCCTTCTGTCCTCTTCTAGCCATGAAAAGCATTTGTTTTTCATTCAGATATGCCTCAAGGCTCACCCTAGGTTTCTATTTATTTAGAAAAACATGATGCCAAGTCCAACATGAGAAACAATGTCTATCTATTCTTTCATTCTTTGCCTAGCTCAATGTAAGAACACGATGCTAAATAAAAAACCCAGTTCATAGTTCTCAAGATGATGCTGACAAGTCAGAAAAAATCAAAATCAAGAAATAGAAATCTCATCCAACCAGCAAATATTGAACAGTGAAAGAGTTTTGTTGCTTAAGCATGAGACAATCTCATTAAGGACTTGCAGTATCCTAACTAGTAGATCTGTAGTAGTTCCAAGGAAGTGTGGTACATGCAAGGATCAAGAAGGAAAAGGCTTCTTCGCCTTTTTTTTTCCTAAAAAAGCTTGTAAGGAACCTTTAAATGCTTCCATAAAATGGAAAAAGAAAACAAGATTCAGACTAAAAATCTTCAACCATTAGATTTCTACGACATATCAATAAGATGTATACACTTACATCATCAAAATCAAGGCTCCCATACATCCGGCCATAGGTACGCATAGGGCCACCATAGCCCCCATATGGTTCAGCAGCATCCATCATGTAGTTTGTGCTTGTACCAGCATCATCAAGTGGTGTAGCTGAATCTATGGCAACCTGCAGGATAATTTGATAACAGGACTGAAAAATTAGGAGCAAATGGTAGCACATATGAAGCCCTTAAAAATAAAAAAGAAAACATAAGCAAGGCTTGTTCTGTTGATAAATGGAGCTATGGGGCGCTACAACAACGCAAGAAGGAATCATCAGAACAAAAAAAGCAAACTATCCAACAGCATAATTTTTATGGTAGTGGTTGGAGGGGGCTGTTCAGAGGGATATTGATATTCAAAAGAAAACTATGCTGACATCCAAAGACCAAACACACTATCTGGGCAGGTAGGTGGATTTTTATCAGACCAAGCAGAAATATTCTGGTGGCAAAAACTCTCATAGTCCAAACAACGTGGTTTTCGATAATATTAGACCAAGCAGAACATTAATGGCAGAAACAAACTCATACTTGAACAGGATACATAAGTCCAATCATCTGATTTTTTTAAGTTCATGCTTGCTGCAGCCATATGCAGGTTGCAGCCTACGCCAATCAAATTCAGCATGTACCCACGTCTCCATGTTTTAACACTGAAATTCAAGATTCTCTTAAACATGATTAATATTTTTGTATTTCATTGGTCTACAGCAGCCAAAAGTTGCAGCAGCACAGCTGAGAAAGTGAACTCATAGTTTTTATTAAGAGAACAAATCCTTTAAAAACAAGATTAGAATAAGAGAATTGGGAATGGACACAATAGAGGGGACTTCGGAGTATCCCTCCAATATGTGACAACTAATCTTGGCTGCGTAAAGTGATCTGTAACTGCACCAGTTAGAAGCAATGACGTAGTGCAAGTAGAAGACCATAAAAGAGCAGGGTGGGAAGCCAAATAGGACATGGGTTATAGTGGATAATGATCTAAAGACCTGTAATTTGACAGCGCAGGAGACAGAAGACCTTTTTTTGAAAAAAGTAATATATTGTACTAATGGTCTCCACTATGAGCATTTTACAAGTACAATCATGTACAGTTGGCACAGAAGACAGTAGGCACAGATCTTGATAGACAGAATATTATTCACAGCACCAGCCTCAAATAGTTGATAGACAGTAGCCAAATAGTTTGTTGCTTCCATCAGTAAGATCTTTCTGAAGTCTTATTTGTGCAGCCTTTTAATGTTACAAAAAGAAAAGGTTACAATTTGTGCACAAAGAAAAGCAGAAATCAAGATAACTGCCTGCCACTGGGCTAGGGCCAGGTTGCAGGAGGATGTTGATGCAAGGACAATTCACTTATCTCTGTATTGTCTGGTAAATAGTTGATACAAGAAGGATTTTTTATGATCAACTTAGATATCCATCTTGTTGGATTATAGTGAAAAAACACTTAATTAGGAAATAAGAAATTTATTAATATTTTGAATTCAAAATAATACAAATGATATTGTAAACTCCAACAAAAACTATACTATTTATTATGGGTAATCAAAAATATTATTAATTATGTAGAGAGATGTACAAAAGACAAAAGCAAAAAGATCTTCATATAACCACACTCTACACCAAAATAGCCCCCCGATTAAATACAAAATCTCTCCTACAAAAAGAATTGAAACCTTTGAGGGAAAAGGAGTAATCCACAATTTAGCCACTTGGCAAATAGCCTCCACACAAAGTTGAATAAGAAATCTCCCTTTTTCATCAGAACTTATCAGGTTTATCTCATTCCAAATGAACCAACAAACAGTGAATGGGGCCATATACCAAATGCCCTTGTGACATCAGCTCAAACACCGGCCAAAAGATGAATCAACATTCATCATAGAGAAAGAGATGGACAAAGAGGAATTGGTAAGAGAACTTAGTATGGTCTTACATAAAAGGCCATTAGCTAAGGACATGATATGAAGCTTTATGAGCTTGTACACCCAAACAAAGTATAGAATAATTTGAAAATACAGAAGCCAATAGAAAGTAAACACCTTGACGGGAAACCTGATAGGATAATGCATACAAATGACATACCCATGTTATTATGCCCCTAAATACATGATAGAATGATTTGAAAATGCAAACGCCGATGAATGCACATATCTCCAACTTTTCTTCCACATTTGCTATTTGCTAATAAGATGTCACAATATTTTCTAGCATAATCTATCTCTACTAAGCAGAAAAAACTGCCTCAATATGGACAATAAGATTTAAGTTTCCAACTTAATACCTCTTGTCCACAAATCTCATGAGACCTTCGAGATACACGATCTGCAACACCATCTTCAGCAAAAGTTACAAAACCAAAGCCTCTGTGACCAGTTCTCTTTGGGTCCTTGACACAATGAAAATACACGTCTCAGTGGCTTAAATAGAAAGCACTCGGTTGCATAGGAGAAACAACTGTCTTACCTTAGGAACATAAACATCTAAAATACGACCAAATCTGCCGAAGTACTGGCGAAGATCTTCAGCACTTGCCTCCTGAGGAAGCCTGCCAACAAATATCTTCTTACCCATTCCTCGAATGGGTTCCGTTCCTGCACCAACAGTAACAACAAATCAACTTCATTTTCAAATGAAAATTGATAATCCCAACAAATGCATAACCAGTTAACCACACACTAGTTCAGTAAAGAATACCAGGAATTGCCTTTCAAGCAAAACCTTTTTTTGATAGTTAGCAAAACTTAACTTTATTTTTTTCTTTGGTGAGACTTAATTTTACTTATTTAAGTAATCAATATTAAAGGATTCAAATAATACAATAAATTATTAAAAGCATATAAATGCTGGTAGACAAAAGAAGATAGTCACATGGAAAAATGAAAAGGTCCTGTACGAATAGTTTTCTTAAACATCTTCGATCAACATTGTATGCATAGACTTTCTGTCCTTTTTCCCTAATGGATTATTATACTGCCCTCATTCTCTATTCAAATACTGACAAGCTTTAATACAAGTAATAAAGTTAATAACAAGAGGGTAGAAACTTAGACACTGATTGCAGGCACTAGGGTTCCTCATCAACTGGACACCTAATCAATGCCTTTTGATGTCACCAATAGAAAATTATCCATAAACTTACTTCCATAAGCTGAGGTTGGGTGGTCATATAATGTAGGAGCACCTAATGCTGCATATCTAGTAGCAGCTGTAATATAAGCATTGTATGCACCATATCCACCTTGTGCAAACCTCCCTGGCCTGAAATCCTCATCCTGAAAATGTAAAACCACATACATTAGATGCTAAAAAAATAAACTAGAAACATGAGGAAGCAAATATCAAAGCACAAAGCATAAGAACTGAATGGTAATTGTAAGAAAAAAATACAATTCATGGTATTTTATTGAACCTGAATACCCGGCATAAAAAAGATAGGTACAAAGCCTACAAAAAAAATAGTAAACATATAAGGAATAGTGCTAAGAAGAAATGCCTTAGGTGTTGCTCTGTCGACAACTATAGTGGAACCTCCCAATTCATGAGTTTCGGCCATTATGTTGTCCACAGATTCTGTGTCACAGGAAAAGAAACAAAATTTTGAAGAAAAAAAAAGTATATCAGCCAAAGAAAGAAGATAAAAGAAAAATTATCAATGTAAAAACTTAAAAACATACAGATAAACAAGAAGATTGACATCATTGACTTGCTAAAAGTTCTGCTTAAAAGGGTAATGGTTAACATATACTATGTATCAATTTCAAGGATGCCAGTGCCATATTTTTTTTCCCAGAGGGGGAGGAGAAGAAAATACTCTGGCACCTGGCCTGGATAGTTTCAATCAGGGACAGGAACTGGCACAAAATTCATACAAAGACGTAAAGACCACAAGTTGTTAGACAGTGTATGCCCTTAGCTCCAATCAGAATGATGTACCTTATGACATTTAATGTAAATGAATAAAGTACATATTTGATTCATGTTATTATGGTGTGTTT